AAATAATTGTATTATTAGATATTAATAGGAGGATGTGCAAAACAGACAAACTAATAAGGCTTTATTTAAACATTAAAGAATACTTTAGGTTAAGGTCTTCTTTTGAATAAGAAAAAAGCTTTGGGGGTATAGAAGATGAATATGGAGGGATGAAACCCTCTTTGATGGTCACACATGCAGAGCACACAGCACACAGAGTGAAATTTGTATCTACAGATAAATATTAAGCCTGACGAAGTACTTAACGTCTAATACAGCGACGTGCAGTCAGGGGAGGCAGGGGAGTCAGAGCCTCACCTGTCATACTCCAATGTAACGGAAAAACAACTAATTATAAAGAAAAACTAAATAGTAATAATAATAAAATGTCTCCACTGATCTGTGTTGTAAGTGTGATTTATGTATGATTCCAATCGCTTTTTATAGTAAAAATCAGCAAATTTGCAGAGCTCCGCTACGGGAGCAATGAGAAGTGAGGCAGGGAGGGACGAGCGCTGCCTCTCGTAAGCCCACAGTAACTTGCTGGGAGCACGGGCACTAATTTAGCGCGGGCACTTATTTTGTGAGTGCGTTCAAGCCAGTTACTGTGGGGTGAGGTGAGGCACAGATGAGCTCTGCCTCACCTCAGTATGCGTCACCCCACAGAAACTGGCTGGAAAGCGGGCCCTAAGCGCATGCCTGTTACCATCTCACTATTGGTCACACATGTAATGTTTGTAGATCCCTTTATTACATTTATCCTCGCCATCCATAGTCTCTAAATAACTTATTTCAGGTATATATGATATTTAGGCTCGCTGGTCTCATCATACAACGGCAATGAAAAAAGCACCAGGGGAGGCAGCCATAACCACTGCCGCACTGAAGGGGGCGCACTGTAATTCTACGCAGAGACGGTAGACGTAAACAACAAACTAGACTTTTGAAACTACAGGAAGATAAGGAGGACTTTTACAAAAAAGTAATAGAGATTGTTGTCCAGAAGGATAGCATGGACTTCATCTTCAAGTCAAGGTAAGACCACATTTGTAATGAAAATGGGATCTTACTAAGAAAGAACAATCCAATATTTCGATTTTGGGTATCCTTTTGTTGAACGGTCTGTTTAAAATGAATCGAAGCATCAGACTAAAAAAGCTTTTGAAAATAACCGAATATTTCGATTAAGGTCAAAATATAATATTTGTAAATCTGACTCAGTGAGTCAGTGCCTCACCAGCCATGAACCTCACCGCACGTCACTGGTCTAATATATTGCTTTCCTGACATGTTAACTATGTTTAAGCACTTATTTTAACTGAAATTATACATATGTATTATACTCTTATAAGATGTATGTAGATAGAATAAGAAATGTGCAGAATATGACAATGTAATGGTGGAGGTACACACATATTGATAGATGTCTTGTAATGCACTGTTGAGGAACCTGCGACCCAAGTTTTTCATTCATTGCATAATATGTATAATATGATATGTCAATAAACCTTAGAAAATCTTGAAATCTTGAAAGGGATGTGCAAAATAGTCATTATATACAGTCTTTAATGTCAATAAACCTTAGAAAATCTTGAAATATTGAATGGGATGTGCAAAATAGTCATTATATACAGTCTTTAATTAACTATTAGTAGAGAATAACGATGAGTAAAGAATATACTTTATAGGGATCCTATTAATATCTAATAATACAATTATAAAATGCAATAACGTGCTTTAACCAGTAGGTGTCCCTTTCTATCAGCTGTGCACCGTTATGGTGTAAATACAGCCTATCTACCAATTGGATCAAATACAAAAGTCAGCCGAATTAGTGTTGATACTGCAAGGAGACGTATTGTGTGAAAAGAAATGTAAGATGTTGTTTAATTGCTTATATATTTAAGATCCACGTCAAGTTTTCAGTTTTGGCGGCAGTTTCTGTTTGTCTAGAAGTCTTGTCATCAGAGCTCTATAAATAGAGTTAACTACGGCAGATATGTCATATTTAATGCAGCCGAAACGTGTATTACAATGCCGTTATGTGATGACTTTCAAAGAGAAAAGCAAGCACACTCGGAATAATGTATTATTTAATTGTTGTATACAGTCTATGGTTGCTACAGAGGATTGTGGGTAATGTCATGTCTTCGGCCATCCAAAACTCATAGAAAACTACTTGTTTCTCAGAATTGAAGGGGAAAACGTGACAAAAGCATTGTACACACACTAAAACCTATCAATGTCGTTGAATTAACAAGGATAATCTGGTGTTTTTGAGCTGATGAGTAGTGGAGATATCACTGTCAAATCAATCGACAGTAAGGGGAATACTTACTTCCGGGTGTACAATTCTCCGTTATCCAATGGGAATGGACGCTCACATTGCCTTTAACAGCCTCCGACACAAACGAATGCCGTGCTTCCCTAAGCGTCAAATACCGACGCCGATGGGAATACATTGCAATCAGTTGAAAGCTCTTTGCGTCCGTTTATGAAGCTGAAGGAGTCTCGGCGCGTCACAACTGGACGCCACGGGACCCTGACCAAGCGTCGCTCCTGGACGCTTAGGGAGTGAGAGTGTGTTGTGGTAGCACATGTCTGCCGAGCTTCTTGCTTCAGAAGCGAGGCAAGAATACTTCCTGGCATTCGGAAAACGAAGAGTGGAACACGCTAGCAAGTGTGCAAGTGTGCGTCATATGAGAGGCCCCGCCTTACATTTTCCGCCACAGATTTGGGGAAATTGGTCCGTGCGCAAAGCATTGTGGGGATTTTAAGACCGCGGAGTCTACACATGTGCAGCCTCGAAATTTCTCCTAACGAAGTACGCCGGGCTCGGTAGATTTCCAAGTATGCTGGAGATTGGAACAGTACTTCGGCGGCACTCGATGACGTAGTATGCTTGAAATAGTGGCTCTGCAGCAGATTTACTCGCGATTGAGAAACACCCACAGACTGGGGACAACGTCATCTCAGTCTCTTCTTCGGCGCAACATCGAGACAACAGCTGTTGTCCTCAATACCTCTCTGTTTGTTTCATTACCACGCTACTTAATTAAAGTATCCAATTTGAACCTTTTCAGAGACTCCATTGTCTCTTATTTTAACTTCCTCCTGGGCGCGAGAGAACCAACACAAATCAACATAACTGAACTTCTCCATGTTTAGTTCTGACTCTGGGGACAGAAAGCTGACCAGTCCCAGAAGACCTGAGAGTTCTGGATGGTTCATCATTTAGCAGCAGGTCAGAAATGTATTTTGGGCCTAAACCATTCAAAGCTTTATAAACCAGCAGCAGTATTTAGAAATCAATTATTTGACACACAGGAAGCCAGTGTAAAGACTTCAGAACAGGAGTGTTGTGATCTACTTTCTTAGTGTTAGTGTAAAGGAGGGGGGAGGGGTGATCATTTATGGAGAGGGAAAGGGTGCTTTTAAATCAGGTAGAGAGCAAAACTGGGTAATCAAGGAGCCAACTACTAAAGCCCCGGCCACACGAGGATGATAACGCAAACGGACCGCAATCATTATCAAAAAAGTCTTCCGTCCACACGCAACAGGCACCAGAAACGTGTCCGTTCACACGAGACTGCTCGAAAGCGCTGGAGACGCTGTAGTACATATGCCAGGCCTGTAAGTGGCGCTGTAGTCCTGCCACAAAAGCAGCGAAGAAGACTTCCCGCGCATGTTGCCATGGTTGCCCTTCTGTTTATTCTCCGCTGTGGCTGGCTCTTTTTCTCCCTCCCCGAGGCAAGCGTTTGCTCCTACTCTCCGGTAGTCCACCAGCAGATGAAAAACACACACCTCTCCGCCTCTTCCAAGGGACGAGGGGACCGTGCAGATACGACCGTTATCGTCCTTGTGTGGCCGGGGCTTAAATGACTAAAAAAGTGAAACAAAATGAACACAAAGACACAAAAATACAGACAAATAGACACTAGACCGCTCCAAGAGGTGCAAAATTGTCACAATCAGACGGTTAATGAGATAGGAAATGAACACAAAGACACATAACCACGGACAAATAGACACAACACTGTTAAGAAATGGAGCAAAATGAGTACAAAGAGGTTTAAAAATGCATCCTTTTATTTAATAATCCACCTATATTTAATGTGTCGTGTCAGAATCATCTGTTAAAACACGCAGAGCAGCTCCATGGAGTTTAAATTAAGTTGAATGTATGTATCAGAGAGGAAATATTACTTGAATAAACTTTATTACTGATATGTTAGCTTCATCATGTTGCTGTTGTCATTATCGCACTCCAGACTGATCAATGATCCATCTGTTTGTGCTTTCTTGTGTTTTCTTGCAGTAGCAGGTGCTTTGTGTTTATTGTCTGTTTAATTACATCATCATTATTTAAGAAAAATAATGTAATTCCACAAATAAGCTGCAAAATCAGGTGCCTTTGATCTATGATGATGTGTGGTGATGCAAGACTCTGGAGATACTTAAAGTAACTCTGAACTGATGTGAATAAAGATATATATGTATTAAACAGTGTAAAGAATGTACTTGGCTTTATGTGTACAAACATGTAAACACTGGTACACTGATAGTATTTCTAAGGTTGTTATGTCTCGCGTCATACAATCTATTTAAATCCCTTTTTATTGTGTGTTTAAATACATATTATTTGACGGAAATACCATCATCTTTAACACATTTAATTCCCAAATGAATTCATACATCGTGCTGTACAGACAAAGTACTCAGAAGGGGAAGAAGTACTTGAGTAAAAGTAGAAGTACTTAGATCTTGTACTTGAATAAAAGTAGAAGTAGCCTACTCAGATCTTCTACTTAAGTAAAAGTAGAAGTACTTAGATCTTGTACTTAAGTAAAAGTAGAAGCACTCTGATCTTACTTGAGTAAAAGTAGAAGTAAGGCAGATTTATCTTTGTTTGTACTATGTTGGAGTTGAGGTACTGTAAAGTGTATTTTCAGACATATTTAAAAAACATTTCAAACATAATTATTGAAGAAGCATGACAAAGAAAACAGAGACAGAAGCAGTGTACAGGATGAATGAATGAGGATGTGGATGAAGCTCCACCTATCACCTGACTCACATGTGACCAGGAAACTGGCTGTTTTTCTGCCTCGCTGAGACGACACACACACATACACATGCACACACACACACACACACACACACACACACACACACACACACACACACACACAAACCAAAAACAACTCTTCCCCTGAGAGAGGACTTCCACAGGAGGGAATGCTGGAATACCTTCCACTTCAAGCAGCTGCTGAATCCACACACAGAGAGTTTTACCAGAATAAAGACTCAAAGTGAAAGTAAGTCTCGGGGAACAGGGAGCGGCTGCTGCTGAGTTTACTGCGTCACTCACAGACAACATGGCTTCCAGATTAGAGGAAGATTTCTGCTGTACTGTCTGCCATGACATCTTTAAAGATCCTGTGGTCCTGTCATGCAGCCACAGCTTCTGTAGAGACTGTGTGCAGAACTGGTGGACGGAGAAAGTCATCAAAGAGTGTCCACTTTGTAAGAGAAGACATTCAAGGGACATACTTCCTCCTAACTTTGCTTTAAAGAACCTGTGTGAGAGTTTCCTACAGGAGAGAGGTCATAGATCTTCAGAGGCTCTCTGCAGTCTGCACTCTGAGAAATTCAAACTCTTCTGTCTGGACCATCAGCAGCCAGTGTGTGTCGTCTGCAGAGATTCAAAAATACACAAAAAACACAGTTTCAGACCCATCGATGAAGCTGCACGACAACACAAGAAGAAGCTTCAGAAAACTCTGCAGCCCTTAAAGAAGAAGTTAGAGACTTTTGAACGAATTAAAGTGAAGTGTGATCAAACAGCAGGACACCTGAAGGTCCAGGCCCGACGCACAGAGACGCAGATTAAGGAGCAGTTTAAGAAGCTTCACCAGTTTCTAGAAGAGGAAGAGGAGGCCAGGATGGCTGCACTGAGGGAGGAAGAGGAGCAGAAGAAGAAGACGATGGAGGAGAAGATGGAGGATGTGAGCAGAGAGATAGCAGCTCTTTCACACACAGTCAGAGCCACAGAGGAGGAGCTGAGAGCTGAAGACGTCTCCTTCCTGCACAACTACAAGGCTGCAGTGGAGAGGCTGCAGCGCCCCCTGCTGGAGGATCCACAGCTGCCCTCAGGAGCTCTGATAGACCAGGCCAAACACCTGGGCAACCTCAGATTCAACATCTGGAGCAAGATGAAGGACATGGTGTCGTACTCTCCTCTCATCCTGGACCCAAACACTGCTGATCCAGAACTCATCCTGTCTGAAGATCTGACCAGTGTGAGAGGAGGAGAGAGACAGGAACTTCCTGATAATCCAGAGAGGCTTAATGGTTACAACTCTGTCCTGGGCTCTGAGGGCTTTAACTCAGGGACTCACAGCTGGGATGTCCAGGTTGGAGAGAATGCAAGCTGGCAACTGGGTGTGTCAGCAGAGTCTGTCCAGAGGAAGGGAAACATACGGCCTGGATTATGGGCAATAGAGTATTATGAATGGTACTCAGCATTGTCACCATCAGGTCCAGACACTCGTCTCTGCCTGCAGAAGAAGCTCCAGAGGGTCAGAGTGAATCTGGACTGGAACAGAGGAAAGCTGTCGTTCTCTGATCCTGAGACTAACACACACATACACACCTTCACGCACACTTTCACTGAGAGAATGTTTCCATACATTTGCAATTGGTATAAACACACACTTAAGGTGTTACCAGTGAAGGTCTCTGTGACTGTAGAACAACAGAGATAGATGATGATGTTGAAGATGATGATGATGATGATGATGATGAATTCGATTTATTTGTTTAACTATGCAGACCTTCCTGCTAAGTGTCTGTTCCTTTCTCCCAAATAGTTTCCAGTGAAGGCTTCTCAGATGGTTGTTAGCCAGGTTAACCATTAAAGAGAGAACTGGAGGAATTACCCAGAAATATGTTCCTTTAATGTTTGGTCAGTAGGCCTGCTGATATATTCATGTGTTTGAGTTTATCAGGGATCACTCGTATAATCTTGTGTTCAGGTCAGTGTGATTCTGGTGTTGGGTTATGGCTTTTCTTGTGTCATGTTTTTGTCAATAAAATAACTGAAAAAGAAACATTCTCAGTATCTTTATTTTGGCAAAACAGTTAACAATTGACTTTTTACAGCTGAGGTTAAACTTCTGAAATTAACAAAAATAAAACTGTTTGCAGACATGCAACATAAAGGAACAATATAACAGTTCAAGGGACACAAGGAGGTAAGAAAGGTATGATAATAAAAATAAAATACAATATATTAAACAATTACATAAGACAAAATAAATATATAATAATATAATAAAATAGAGGATCCCTCTCCAGACGGACAGACGTGCAATAGATGTCGTGTGTAAATTAAAAAGATAAAACATTTACACCATAGGTCGTACAGATGCTGGAACATGCATGTGTCTATAAATAAGAAGAAGATGGATCCAGGTGGATGTCATCGATCCTGCGGGAGCCACAGGTGGGTTTTTCTTCTTCATGAGACATCTTGCACAGCAGCACTTTAAATATGAAACCCTGCACCAGGTTACACTCTTTGGGTGTTGAGGGATGAAGGAGATGCAGTCAGAGTGGTTTTATTATTATTCTGTTTATTCTTTGACACAAAATATACATTACAATCATTCTGTATATTAATACAAGAATGTGACAACATTTGAGACATTAAAGATACACCGCAATTCAGAATAATGGCACCATTACTATTAATAATAGTAAACTAATAAATATGGTAACACTTTATTTTGATCTGTTATTCCATCTGTTGACACTCTATAAGTACATTCAGTAGCATGTCAACAGTGCATCAGTTGACATGTATCAGTTGACGTTCAACAGCACCGTTCAAACAGACAAGTAACATGTTTTTTGCAACAGGTTATTAACCAATATTCAACCTTACTATCTGTAGATTGTGTCAACATCTTCAAAATTGACAATCAACTACTCAAAATCAATATGTCAGTTGAAAGTCAACAGGGTCATGTCGACATCTGTTGATAATCTGTTGAGAGTCAAGATGTCAACTAAAGATGACATTAAGCATTAGTTGACGATCAACAGATAAGCAACTAAAGTTTAGTTGACTATCTGTTGATCGTCAACTAATCTAGAGTTGACAATCAGTATACTTTTAGTAGGCATTCTCCACTAAGCGTTTGTAGGCATGTGTTAGGACGATCCAATTAAAGTGAAAAACTGTTGAGAACAGTAGAAAGTCTATAAACTATCAACAGAACACATACATTCATCCACTAATTATATGCAACAGACATGGGAATAAAGCGAAAAGTTTTGCACAACTGATCACGAACACTGGATAACTGAAGTCAATACCAGGCTATAAAGCACAGTATAGAACAAACACTATAGGCAGCATATCAGAGAAAGAAAGCTTTTTTATTTTAAGAATATACAGTACTACAAGTAAAAACACTGAACAGTTCTGAAATGGTCAAAATAAAGTTTGAAACACATTATCTACCAGCTGGTAGTCAATACCAGGCAAACGAAAATAAATCACTGAACTGCAGATTTTTACAGTTTAATAACTATAAATAAAATAAAAAACGAAACTTGACCAACAGAAGAACATTCAATTATTGATCTACCCTGAGGCCAAGGTCAACCTTTAAAGGTATAATATGTAGGAATTTCCTAAAAAACAATGTATAGATATTTAAATATATATGATCCACTACAAGTGTGTGATGGTGTCTGTATCTACAGAGACCCTGCCCTCTGCCTGTATTTTCTCTTCTCCTTTTATTTTTCTGTGTTCAGGACGTTTATGGGCGTCAGCAAAGAGCCTTTGGGCCCAATGTGTGGGTCTAACCCCCAGCCAATTACCAGGGTGTGGAGCTCGATCAGTAAACAACAGTAATTAGGCTACAGAAAGGTCCTAAACTGATCTGTGGTTACCATCCCTTATGTCCTTGATAAGTCTTCCAAGTACACCATGTGTATATGTTCTTGCTAACCAGTATGGTCCACTCTATGAAGGAGAGTTGTTTTTTAAAGGTTTTCTCAGAACGATTCCCCCGCATACGCCAAACTTCCCTCTTGTATGTCTGCCATGCTCTCTCAATGTTTTGAGTATGTAGTCCTGTTTGTGGATCAACATAATTATGTCTGTGGTTGACCCTGACATGCCTGTAGCCCTCCTGGGAAAGACTGGCATATGCTCTCCACTCATCACTCACAATAAGACTTTGAGGCTTGATATGCTTCTTGATGATGGGAACAAGGGTCTCCTTGTTTCTTCTCTTTACAAGGCGAAGAATGGGATGTCTGCTTGCAGCTTTGATCTCGAGTATACAGTACCAAACACCCAAGATCTCTTTCTTTTCCAGGTGTTACGAAAGAGTCCTCTTCCATACTACCAAAAAACAGTGTGAACATTATTACAAAAATAATCTCTTCACTTTATGTTTAATCAATTTATTGTTAGTCAGGTGTAATTACCTTTTCATCTAAATCTGTTTTAAATTCCTTATAACACAGTAAACATGCTTACAAAATGATTTGCTGGAAAGGGATAATCTTCTCAAGGTCTGAGTTAAGGTTATCTTTTTTCTCCTCGACAGTTCATGAATTTGTGCTTTTATTTGTGTCACTATGACCACATTAGGAACCACAAAATCTTGACTGAAATTGATTGAAAACAATTACCAAATCTTGTGACACTGCAATGCAATTCAATTTAGTCTTGACTCTGGCTTTGTGTGAATATTTTGTTATTTATTCATTATGTATGTAATGTTTGAGTTAGGAACACCTGTTCCTGTTTTATTTGACTAATATATAGGATAAATACAGAAGCCTAATGCATTCACTTGAGAAGAAAAGGTTTTCCACAAGAACTTTTCCTGGAATTCTGAGATAATAATCTTGTTAATTAAGAAAAACAGAAAACGTTTATTTCTCATGTGTATGCATTACGCTTCCGTAAATAAACCCTCTTTAGGTTAAACAAATACAATAACATGCCAATGAGTGCAAAGTGTTTCCCCTGTGTATGAATAAGTTACATATTTGTTGTTATCTTTGGGTTGGAAACCACCTCACAAAAGCCCAAATAATTAACATCTTCCTTAACATAATCAATATGGCACTATTATTGGAGAGGATGCTTGGTGGTAGGAAGGCACCATTTTCACCGGATGCTGGTTTTATTTAACATCAAGAAACTGTTCTCAGAGCAGTTTTATGTGTTTTCCCTATGCTTTCACATTGTACTGAAGTTTGGCTTCTTAATTTCCTGTAGATTGTAAATAGGACATCCTTGGCAGGGGAATGGGGAGGGTGGATCAACCTTGTAAAATGACAGTGGCATGATGACATCATAATGAAACAGTTTTTTTATTAACTGATTGACAGCTTTGGGGAGAGTGATATTCATTTCGGCCATTTTTTTTTAATAACCCATCTATGACTCTCCCCTCCCACCCACTCTATATCTATCCTAAATTATGATTCACATAATGATGTAAGCTCTTTCAGGTTATAGAAAATGTAACACATTTAGTCAAGTGTATTGCACATTTAAATTAAATTACCTTGCGTTTGTGGCAGAATTTGCTCTCATCAATGTGAACAAGGACATTAACTCCACCGACTTTCTGCTTCTTTTTCTTTTGGTGCTTTCCCAGGCTTTTTACACAGATTCTTCTGAGTTTCTTTGACATCATGGAAAGTGTTGCTGAGCTCTTTGCAATGCCATCTTGAAGCATGTCAACTTGCCGTAGATGCAAACCCAGTGCAAATCTATCAAGGATTAACACAAATAATGAAATAAGGACAGTGCTAAAACTGATGCTCATTGCAACACAGTGTCACATCTGGTTGTAGATAGAATCACCACCATACTCTTCTGTCAGAAGCCCAAAGTTATGATTTATAAGAAATCCTAATGCTTGAAAGCAGAAACAAATAATACTTAAGAGCAGAAAAACAAAATATGGTCAACTTACAACATGATGAAATTAGCAAGAGCCAAAAGTAACGTCAGAGAGTTTTTTTGTTACTGTAACATATCTGGCCAATCAAGGCAGGCTATATTACATATGCTTTTGTCTATATATACTTTCAGATATACCATAAATCCATGCCACCATAAATTATGATAACAGCATGTGCTGTAGTGCAAATGTACTCCATATACTCAAATGCACTCTACACATAGGCTACTGTAATCTATCAAATACTGTAATAAGATAATACCTTTGCATTGCTTACCTATGGATGTACTTCATCCATGCGAATAAACTGCAGTGTGATTGTGAGAAAAGTGATTTTTTCCTAACACTTCTCCTCAAACGTCCACATCTTTTACATCGGCAATTGCAGGACATCAAATTGTATGATAAACTGAACATTTTTGTATGTGTGTGTTACACACACATACACACACTAAGTTGGATATATAATTAATTCAAATAACAGCAGCTTATGTAAAAACCATGCTGTTTATGCAAGTAAGCCTAGTTCATGTCAGTGTCATTATCTATACTATACGCTGAAATAAATATGTTGTAACATTAGCTAGCTGGCTACTTGTCTAAATTGTATCTTGCCTCCATGCACTGTAAAAACAGTTCCGATGGTGAAGTCAACAAAACTCAATTTTTTATGTAATTGACTTGCCCGAAATTACTTTTTTTTCAATGTGCGTTGAAATAAGTAACACTTAAGCAACAATGAGAACATGTTTTAAGAACTCATTAATTTGTAAATTAATATCACATTTTCTGAACTTTCTTATAAATACGTTTTGGAAAACTTCATGAAAATGCTTTTGTCAACGCCACGGTCATGACACGCCCTCACACGAGAATCATGCGGTGTGAGACTTCCTGTTCCTCTTTGCAGCGATTCTTCGGCAGTTGGACACGTGTTTGCGTTGGATCCTCTTCAAATCATCGTAAAACAAGTAAGCATATCACCTGAGTTATTAATTACTGCTTTTTAACTAGCAAGTGTTGTTTACTTTTCTTGTATTCACTGTTTTGAACGGAACATCGACATACTGTACCAGCGCCATTTCTGCTGTTAAAGTTAG